TCTCCCCGACAACTGTCCACTCTCCCAAGTAGAATACACTTGTTGCACCTTCTCGAACACATCGTCCGTCGCCCTTGCCAATATCATGTAAGGCCTGAGGACGTCGGACCACTCCTTGTTCCAAGCCTGAAGTGAAAGAGTAACCAAATGATCACTCCCGGTCGCGCGCAGAGCCATCAGCGCAAACTCTCTGTAATCCTTATTTTTGACGTCTGCAGCAGATCCGCCTATAGCTTCTAGACGACCGGCTGCTTGCCACAACTTTCGTATGTTCTTAATGRTAGCAATCTGGTGCGGAGGAGTATTCCATTTGTCCTTCGCATTTTGGAAAGTGCTCAAGGTGCAGTAATTTTTCATGCTCCTATYCGGATAGTAAACAGRCCTTGCAGTCCARCAATCCAAACRRAGCTCACGGGCGATGTCAGGGCGTTCTTGAGAACATTTCCTCGCCGCTGCAACATTGTGTTGACCACTGAGAGGGTACCAGTAGTACTTGCGCACGGATTGGAGATCGAATTCGCGGGGCGTCACTCTTCTCGCTCTCACATTCGTACCGGAAGCGTCATTATGCATTGTATCATGTAGCCCAATCAACAGAAGGATAGGCTTCTCGTACAATGCACATACATTCACCCCGGCTGCCCCGGTCGTTCTCTCTCTGATAGCTGCCTCACCCGACTCAACCATTGTTTTGTAAAGGTCATCAATAAGCTCCTGATCGAGAAAGCGTTGATTATATCTGAATTCCTCATCAGGGATATCCAGAATCCTGTCCAACTTGACAGAAATGAACTGCATTTCCGGCCTCTGGTTACCATTCTCATCGAACTCAAGGAAGAAGCCTTTGCTCAGATGACCAGAAGAATTCCCATGCGGCAGAATCTGCAAACCGGGCGGTCTGGTGACTGTCTTGCCCACAGCGTCTTCATCCGACTGTGGCTGGTCCGGTGGAAAACGAAAGTTTTTTCCATCACACCTCCCTTCGCTGCTTTTTTCCTTGGCTGCCGTTTTTTCTTCATGGCCTCCTCAGCCTCCCGCGTACGTTGGACGGCCTCCTCAACTGCCAGCATTTTCAACTTGCGTTTGCCCTCCTCTTGCTTGGCTCCCCCCTCCTGCTTGGTTTTCTTACTGTCCATAGCACTTCTCCTCTCTTGCCTCATCTTCCTTTTCTTCTCACCTAGCCGTACTGCATCGCCATGCGCCGGCTCGACCCCAACTTTGCGGTGCATTTCCCCACGCCCTGGATCCGCTTCCCAATGCCCATGACCCGGCGCGAGCAGCTGCGTTCGTTTGGAACCCCGATGCACATCTGCATACCCTCCCTCGTCGGTCGTTTCCTCTTCTTGCCCTTCGTCCTCATACTCAACCCCTAGACGACCCTCCAACTCGCCCGGCCCACCCCTCTCGCTGATTGTTTGTTCACTCTCTACTTCCTCTTCTTCGCCACCCTCCTCACATTCTTCGCGTTCTTCATCGCGCTCCCATTCTTCTTCGCTGTTCTCCTCGTCGTCATCTCCAAAATAATGCGACCCAGCAGGAATGGCCAACTCATAGCGCGGCGGGCGCACCTTGGTTGATGTTGGTCTACGCTTCACAGGAGCTGACGGCACGATTTGGCCGCGACACGGACCTTTCTTCCCGATCTGCCCTGATTTCGGAACTCGTGTTGCAGCAACCGTAGTCCGAATTGATTGCGGAGGGCGGGCACCTATAATGATCGGTTTCGACGATGGACCCGCCTCCAAAGACGACTTTTCGGTTCAGATATGCTGTCGGAAGCATGCACCACCGGCTCATGCCCTGCGACCACATGTCTGTCGAAGAATGCGAAAACCGATCGAAGGTCCGGCAACGTCAATTTCTCCGTCCCAGGCGGATTGAAAATGTCATAAAGCCTTTTGCCGTACCCAGCGTGTTTGGCCCAACGAAGAGCAACGCGTTTGACACCCGCCATCCGCTCACCTCTAGCGTTAAGGACCATCGTCAACTCCAACATGGCCGACGGTGATTTTTCTCCACTCCACTTAACCACACCGCCAATCGGAACAATGTTATCTTTTATCACCACGTACAAAACGCCCACCCGAGCGTTCCCCGATTCCACCCACCCAGTCCAACATCCAGCACTTGTCTTTGTGGTCGACGACATGCACCTCGTCTCCCACACCTGTAGCGGACGTGTCACCAGACCTTTTACGCCTCGGCACAACGTCCATCGCAAATTTCCCCTGCCGACCAGTAGCCTCCTCTTCTTGACCCGCAGCCCCACCACTCATCAGCACAGCCGAATCCGGTCCCGAACCTCGAACATGGGCGGAAGGAGTGCCCGTAGAAGGTGCACCCCGCAGCACCGGGGTTCGGTGGCCCTTAGCCCCCGGTGTGTCGCCAGCCCCCACGCCAGCCGTCGGTGTCCCCTTCGTTTTTTTCGGAGACTGCTCCATGCTCCTGGAACCAGCACTAGTACGTCGTTTGCTTGGCTTCCCCTCGCGATCCATGTCGAGCAGCTAGTCGCAACTGAAGAAAACGCACAAGCGAGAAAGCAATCATTGCTTTGCCAACGTGCAAATACCACAGCACATGAGAACAAGAGTAGACAGGAACACAGAGCAACTGAAGCGGGCCGCAGCCCGCCAGCTCGTCGTCGTTTCACTGTTGTGTCGAACTCGACGGCCGTGCCACGACGTCCTCCAGTACCGTCGAATCCGACACGAGAGCGACATTGCGGTGTCGTCGTGTTACTGTCGTGTCGAACCCAATGGCACTGCGCGGGCTGACCAACCGTCGTGTTGGACACGACAGCTACACTGTTGTCTGCCGTGCGACAGTCGACCAAGCGGCCCTTCATGCACCGTCTGGTCGCCAGATAACAGTGTCCATGTCGTGTTCGACACGATGGTCGCCAAACGNACAGTCGACCAAGCGGCCCTTCATGCACCGTCTGGTCGCCAGATAACAGTGTCCATGTCGTGTTCGACACGATGGTCGCCAAACGGTGCCTGTAGTGGAGCTGACCGTCGTGTTCGACATGACAGCGATAGTGTAGTCCGCCGTTCGACAATCGACCAAGAGCCCCTTCGGGCACCGTCTGGCGACCATCGTGTCGAACACGACAGCCACACTGGGGTGTGTTGTGCGACATTTGCCGGGTTCGACACAATGCTCGGCGGACGGTGCCTAAAGGGGCACTTGATCACGAGAACACAAGACAACAGATCGCAGGCACTGGTTAACACGGAGAAACATTGACTGCTGAATGTTTGTGCACGCAAAACATTATAACAATGAGTTTTTGTTTCCCGAAAGGAAACATAACATGAGAACAACAATCAAACACTCGGCTGGCAGTGATGTTTCGGTGTCCAAAGCCGACCAAAAACACGTGTCATCATTCCCGGGTTTCAATGAATCGGAAAACAATATGAGGACAACAACGTCAAACGTGTGTACTTTTGGCCACTGAACACATGACGAGAACAACTGGCAGATACCGCGTATTGTTATCGAATAACACATTGAGAACAGCAATCGAGAACAACCAGCAGATACCGCATATTGTTATCGAAATAACACATTGAGAACAACAATCGCAATGCGAATTCCACGAGGCTGTCTATCGACCACGGGAAACAATCTCGCCGTTGCGGCCATTTCGGCCACTCAGTATGCCGTTTTGGCCATCCAGTATGACGAAGGCTATCTACCGACTACAGGGAACAGTCTCGCCGTTGCAGCCATTCATCACGCTAATTGGCGATCCGAAGGTCAGCTGCTGCGTCGTCTCAGCAAACACCGAAATGTATGTCATTCGCACAAACCCGGAGTTCCCCACGAGAGAAGCGCCTATAGCATCCCGAATTGAAACGACTTTAGCCTCGACCTCGCGCCATGCAACAACGTCCTCCACCTGGCCACCCACCACGATATCCAGTCTCCCATCTACCCTTCTTTGAACTAAACATATATCCCTCCCTGACATAGACAACTCATTCCTGGACACATACACGACAACATCGGTCAACTTTCTTGCCCTGCTTGAAACGGCAATACAGAGGACCCTACAGAAGATAAAGTATGCCAGACGCAATCTCACACAACAATACGAAACTGCTCCTGGCGACAGACCAGGAGATCGCAACGGATAATGATCGATGAATTGAGAATGTCGCGCACAATCGAGTAACTCCTGTTTCATAACACGGCACCAGGTGCGAGGCGAGGTTGTCACTTATTCGCAGTCCAAAACCCCCACAACACGGCTTATTTTTAGTTTTTTACACAGTAGCGGCAAGCGCACGGGACGCAGCACATCGAACGGCATGGGAATGCGTTTGCCGAATTCGGACATAAACTCATAATCGCACGCCCACGAGCATCTTTCCATCATGTTCACCCACTCGCATTCCTCCCATGAGTCCAAATGTTTGTCGTCAAACGGGAGGATTCTCATCCAAGGGTCGCATTCGAAGTCTTCTGGACAAGCGCCTTCATAGGTTACGCTACCCTGACATTGCCGGACGTACAGCGCGCAAGGTGGGAAAGGGTGTGCCTTGCGTGCACGCCAAAGTGTTGGGGTCATATTAGAGATCTCCATAGCAACAGTGAAGAGAAGACGCCCTGCACGACACAAGGGCAACGGTCAACAGCAGCAATAGAACAATCAACAGCACCATAGAACTATTCACCCCGCTCCCACCAACAATGGAACAAACCAGGCCGCACGACAGCACAATGCAAAGAATTTTTGAGCGCAATCCAAGCCCATGCACGGTCCATAGCACTGCACACAATCATGAACGATTCGATGACATTGCACCGCGCACATTCTCGTTCCACTAGAGGACAAGGAAGGATCGTGTTCGACTCAATGACAGGGCACTCGCCTATCGTGTTCGACACAACAATCATGATCGATTCGACGATCGTGTCTGACTCGACAATCGTGTCCGACTCGACGATCGTGTTCGACTCGACTATCGTGTTCGACTCGACTATCGTGCTAGACTCGACGATCGTGTTCGACTATCGTGTTCGACTCGACTATCGTGCTAGAGTCGACGATCGTGTTCGACACGACGACAGGGCACTCGACGAATGTGTTCGACTCGACAAACACAGTCGACGATCGTGTTCGACTCGACGGTCGTGTTCGACTCGACGATCGTGTTCGACTCGACGATCGTGTTCGACTCGACGATCGTGTTCGACACGACGATCGTGTTCGACTCGACGAACGTGTTCGACACGACGATCGTGTTCGACTCGACGATCGTGTTCGACTCGACGAACGTGTTCGACTCGACGATCGTGTTTGACTTGATGTGTTCAACGAACGTGTTCAACTCGACAGGGCACTCGACGAACGTGTTCGATGCGACGAACGTGTTCGACTCGACAAACGCAGTCGACGATCGTGTCCGACTCGACGGTCGTGTTCGACTCGACGATCGTGTCCGACTCGACGATCCTGTTCGACTTGACGAACGTGTTCGACTCGACGATCGTTTTCGACTCGACGTGTTCGACGAACGTGTTTGACTCGACAGGGCACTCGACGAACGTGTTCGACTCGACAGGGCACTCGACGAACGTGTTCGACTCGACAGGGCACTCGACGAACGTGTTCGACTCGACAAACACAGTCGACGATCGTGTTCGACTCGACGGTCGTGTTCTACTCGATGGTCGTGTTCTACTCGACGAACGTGTTCGACTCGACGATCGTGTTCGACTCGACGATCGTGTTCGACTTGACGATCCTGTCCGACTCGACGATCCTGTCCGACTCGACGATCGTGTTCGACTCGACGATCGTTTTCGACTCGACGATCGTGTCCGACTCGACGATCGTCTCCGACTCGACGAATGTGTTCGACTGGACGATCGTGTTCGACTGCCGTGTTCGACTCGAGGAACGCAATCGACGATCTTGTTCGACTCGACGATCGTATTTGACTCGATGATCGGGCAGTGTCGTGTTCGACTCGACTATCGTGTTCGAATCAACGATCGGGCAGTGTCGTGTTCGACTCGACTATCGTGTTCGACTCGACGATCGGGCAGTGTCGTGTTCGGCTCGACTATCTTGTTCGACTCGACGATCGGGCAGTATCGTGTTCGACTTG